GTCGAGAAAATCTCCTACAAACCTAAAACAACATAGTCGCCCCTAATAACACTGACAGAGTTTTCCACTGGTATCATTTACATGGTTCCTCACGTTCTTTTCGATAATTCCAGGTTCACTTATTGGAAAAACAGGCAGCACTCACAGTTTATCATCTTCTGGAGACTTAATCATGCTGCCTTCGCTCTTAATCTGTAGCCTTGGAACTTACTGACTGCTACAGCAGTCGGCGACTTTTCAAATTCTGACTACAGTTGATCAATAGCTTCGCACGACGAAATCACGACTTCTTGTCACGGTTATAATTTTGCACTTACAGTTAATCTGATAAATATAGATACAACCAGAATTCAACACTAATAAATACAAGCTGTCAACGACACATTAAACTTTAAACTAATGGATGTATAAATATCGGCATCAACTGATAATACACTTATTGTACTATCACTATAGCATCATTACTCTTGCGGCAAACTTAACGTTTCTCATATGAGGAACTCAGTCACTTGTCAGAGGTATCTATTTCAACGCGACTTGATAGAACTATCTATTATTTCTATGGTTAATCGCTTAACATTCAACCAACGTCTTATTAACATACTATTACTTTCTGTTTCTCGATCAATTTCTGCCGTCTTCTTTCCATCTGTTTTACAGTTTGGCAATACCCGGTGGATTCATATTAATCGTCTGGCAATTTCCGCTGTTGAATCTGGTGAGGGAGTATTGTAGGCTCTGCGAAATGTCACTGAGCACTAGTCAAATCATCCTGCGGCTGTGTCACTGAATATCGAACAGATCGTCGATCCCTGTCAGGGTCAAGGGCAACCAATGCGCATCAGTTTATAGTACACCATGGACTGGCACATGCAGTGGTGGTCTTGCTGTCTTCTCTGTACTCATTCGTTTTCACAATAACGTCTTTTGTGTTGTTCGGTCTTCGAAGCAGCCGTAGTACCTCGATAAGTCGAAGGGGTGCTCCACGTTAGATACTGACCGAAAGGTGTCTTCGAAGTTAGCTGGTTCGTCAAACCATTCCCGTCTAACTCGAGTAAACCTCCAATCATTCAACATAGATCATCTACGTTGGTGATCTACATATCGCAGTGTATTCAATGTCAGCTCTCACTGAATTGCAAATTATCTATTTTATTTTTATTATTATCAGCTTTATTTAATGCTATATTTTTGGTACAATATAGAATTATCAGCGAAGAGCATTTCACAAGTTTCCGTTTCCTGACGATCAATATTGAGTGATCGCCAATTAGACGTTAGCAATTCAGGAATGGACATATGAATAATGTACATTATTTTCGACATATATTCCCAGCAACCACAATGACTCTAGTTGTGCTCTTTCACAACTTGTACAGCGAAATGTCGTGATTTTTTTGCAAATGCACCTGAATATGCTGTGCAATTAATTGACATAATGATCTGTTGAAACAAACAAAAAACACATAAAATGTTGAAATATCTAGATGTTGCGAACAGGTAGTCCAGATATACAAGCAGGCTATGTAACACGAGTGGAAGGGCGCCAGTGCACCGTGAAACTTTTGCAGTTGAAAGTGAAGTTTTCTACAGTTGGTAAAATCGTCCCACCAACCCGTTAGCTTGTGACTCGTAGGCTGTGGTTCAGAATTGTGTGGGTCCTAGTAATGTAATAAGACAACCGAAAAATCCAGATTCAAACTGACATTAATGGTCTGTAGTGATAGTTGAATATCAGTAGTTTATTTGTCCGAAGACGAGCTTAGACAGAAGGTAATCGGTTTATGATCGGCAAACAGAGTGAATTATCGGCCTTACACATTGTGTTCAAGGCGCCGTACATGACAACATATGGAATGTACCTATCTACCGAACGTGCCATACTCCGATTTAGTGCCTTGCAACAGTCTCCAGAAGAATGCCAAAGGTTGCGAGTTGTCGGTCGTAAGCCATGACACCCTGATGTCCGAGGACAGTTACTGTTGTAATAACTTCCTTAACTCTGGGGAACGCGTTTTTCGAATTATCCTCCAAACTAATGTTTCCACGAAATTCCTTCGTTAAATGTCCCATGAAAGACGTGCGATTCGGCATGAACCGTCGGTAGATACTTATCAGGCCGTTGGACGTACTTAATTGCTTGAATGTGGCCGGTTTTGGGTGATTTTGAATGGCCATCAATTTGCTTTTCAGATGGATTCGGTTCCGAACTGATATTTCTGAATGTTTACAGTAATTCTGTGTTCATGCAGTCGTGGTGTAGCGCATAACATTGCTGGCTACTCACGATGACACTGATCGCGTTTTTTAAAGTTCGTAATACTTTTTGAGTATTCGTTTGAAGTATGGGTCGATTATGAACTTAACATTGACTGGGGGATAATCTTCAACCAGAAAGTGAAGTTACATAAACAGGTGACTAAGTATTGCCGTCTACTGATCTCCGTCTACATGGGTCAACGGGTAGTTTATCACGCTGTAACAGGTTTATACAAATGATTGGCACAGAAACACCTGAAACAACGAAAATACGTTAAAGGGTCTGTATAAACTCACGTTAAGATAGACATATAGCTTACCGTATGTGGTGGTCGATTTCCCATACGCCGCCTGTAAGTTGAGAAACGGTTCGTGCAGACAGTCATTAGAATTTGAGTGAAAGACGCTTACTTCTGAAGTGTTAACGAGATAGCGAACTGTCATCACCACGTCAGTGGTGTGCGACAGACGGCTATATCTGCCCCCCTATGTTTGCCATTATTACGTGCTTGTGGTGAAGTTTCCCGAAAGGCTTTTTGTGTGTTACTGTTCGTAGATCGAGAAACTTCAGCGTTCTCTGCAATTTCTAGGTGACTTACCATACGTACTGTGGTACCAACACCAAACATAGTTATTCGTCTGTAGTGGTCTTGAAACGGATTTTTTAATTGACCGGTTTCTTTGAGAATCCGGGAGCATTTACCATTATGATGAATACTAAGATAACGTGTGAATGTGGCAGAACTCCGCAATATCATTATGTGTTGCTTGAGAGTTTCTTTGACAGAAATAAACCACAGTGCTGACGGTTCTGTTAGCTTCCAGAATCCGGTCAGTAGGTGCGGCGAGTTTGTCTACGGTGTTGTTTCGGAATGAGACAAGAATCACTTACTCCTGTTGGGGAAGCTTGAATAAATAGGGCTGTCTGAAAAGACCGTTGACCAACGATCTCTCACATGCGTAGTAACACTTCTGTTGATCAGCCGTGTCAAAACTCGATTTGTGGAAAGGCTGGTCTGACCTTTGTTGGTTAGTAAGTTCTCCACGCTCAAGAGCAGCCTTCTTTGAAGTGTCATGGGTTCTATAAACGTTACTAATGAACATACTGGGAGTGACGTTCCCGTTGAAATCGCGAGGTAGTGCCCTCACTACTGCGAGGAATTGTTCACGTGGTGCTCATGAAAGTCAACTTCCACGTGACAGAACCAAGCTTCGAAATTATCATGCAAGAGTAGCATAGGCTAAAAGTTTAAAGGCAAGAGAGTCCTAATTTTAAACAATTTGGGTGTCTGTCCCGTAATTATGAAGGTAAGATATACAAATGGAAAAAGTATCCGAGGATACAATAGAAATATTACCGTGTAAAAATGAATTGATATACAATGGTGCAATAGGGAACTAACTCACAGTTTATTGTTTGGTGTAGCGGATTACATCGGATTCACCAATAAAAACGTCACAGCAATTGGGAGTTTGACAACACCTTCATTCGTAACATATTAAAGATCGAAGGAAACCAGTCAGGCTAAATAAAAAGTAAGTAATGAAGGAGTTGGAAGATGAATTTGGGAAGTTTTTGATGTGTTGAAAAACGTCTGATCTAAGCTGGCCAGTAGTTGCAAGGGACGCATAGCACGGCATACCCACTCATGATCTAGTATGGATGCATGGACGAGCACCTTCAGCTAGTGTGTCCGGTAAAACTAATGAGATCGGCATCAATGTCAAAGATTCACAGAACTATTTATATTGGCAATCTATTTACAGCTGCAAATCTGTAGATTTCAGAATTTCAAGTTTGAATTTCCTGCATGATCTTCCGCCACAGGTATAATTAAACGTATTACTTTTTGCAGATGATTTGGAACTTTGGAGAAAGATACGCTAACAATAGAATATACTGGTATTTCTGGAGGATATGACTTGACTTCAAAGTTGGGAAGATGACAACGGACCTACCTTGAACACTTCAAAATGTAAAGTAGCCCATCTAAGACATGTTGCAGACTACAGCTACAACTTAGGCAACTCCCCTTTAGACGTATCACAAGTCGAAAAAGATTTTGAAGGCTGATACCCTATTATTTGAAGTCTTACACTAACTGTGACAAAAATGCCTTTCGAGAAAACCTTGCACTGGTAACATTGAAGCGCATTTTCACCAGTTCGACAGCAGAACTTTCCACATAATATTCAACAGTTCCATTTGTACCCATCTACAGTGTCGAAACATAGTATTTCCTCCCTCACTCCAGAAGGATAAGGACACTCTGGAACGTATCCAACGGCGAGCCGCGAAATCAGTTCCACGACTCAAATTCAAGCCTTATGAAGAGCGCTTTCAATCACTAAGTCTTTACCCGTTGGGTTACAGGAGTCATAGAGCTGACCTTTTAATTGCTTACAGTATTCTTAACACATCTGGAATTCTCCTTAAACACATACGTAAGTTTAGCTCCAACACAAACCTATCTGGTAACATCCAGAAACTGGAGACACAACTAAGCAGAACGGCTTGTAGTCATGACTTCTACTCTTTAAAAATGGTCAAATTCCGAAATTTGCTGCCGGCTGAGCTAGTTCAAATGACTTCCCAGGAGTCCTTTAAGAGGTGACTTGATCTATTCTTAAGGACTAAGGACAGTATCTTACTATGATTTGCCAACTTCTTTTTCTTCTTTCATCGTTAACATACCTAGGTCTTTTCCCGGAGGTCTTGTTGATCCTACGCTATTAGACACGGAAGCCCGTTAAGCGAAAACTTCAACACCGTCCACAACCATTTAAACTCTTTTTGTATTCTGAAAGTTTAACTTCCCAAGGTCGTTTGGTGTTTGTGTTTTTCGGTTATTCTACGCCTGATGTCTAGCAAGCATGAAGGTAGGTTTTGTATACTTCTGTCAACGTCTTTGTTTAATGTGCCAAACTGTAGAATGTTTTCTAGTTTATAGATATTATGGCCTCGTGTCTGTCACTTGATATTAGCCACCCTTCAAACTATTCCCACTGATATATATATATATATATATATATATATATATGCGAAACTATCCAGATGTTTTGCAGCTGTGTAAGCGATAAAAAGTATTTTGAGCGTTAAAGGTCTGGGGTTTGTGGTCGTACTTAAGATTTCACATAGTCTAAATTAGCAATTGTTAGTGTATCTCCACATAGATAACGTTTACACTTATCGTCAAAATGGGATTGAATACCTAGACTTGTTGTGTAAGTTGTTTATGTGGATGATATTCATATGCATTTCAACGACTTTAGCTCTTTTGCCTCCCATGACTTTAATTTAGCTTTGAATATTACGTTTAGAGGATTTGGTTTCAAGATAAGTATCGGGACAAACTAAAAAGCTTTTCCCTCTCAGGTTTTCTGGCTTATAATGAATATTGGAAATTATCTAAGGGTTGTATATAGTTGTTTTGAAATAACTTGTACTACTAGGCTTCTGTTCATCAAACTTGCATTAAAAATCAAGCGTTAAATAAATTGTTACTAGATATTGTCTAAGATATTTTTCCCATAAGTCATGTAACTAGTTTATTTTTGTTTCTCTCAAAAATGTCTTGGTGGATATAGTTAAAATTCGATATTTCTACTCCAAATGCCGATTTATAGTGGACTTATGCATAGGTCAGTCCGTCAACTACAACGTAGGACCTGGCACATATGCATCGGTCGAAGTTGCAACATCTCATTAGTAAAACATGATAAACGTCGAATTCATAGTAGTTACTTCAATGGAAGTAATATACAAAAGAAAGATTGCATATAAATATATAGTACAGGAAGAAAGATTTAGTACGTAGGGAGAAGGATATCAAGCAGTTTTAATCTCATGGTTTAAGGGATCGATTCTGAACTATGTCACCCAGAGTCCAAACCATTGTTCGTGATAGTCACGCGGACCCTAACCAAGTAGTCTGAATCTTCCAACATGGCTCAGACCAGAAGTTAGTGACTTCAAGCACTGATGCCACGTTTTGGTTTGGCCGCTCTTAACTTTCTTCCAGTTATCCCTAACACCGGTTAGCATTGCGCGTCGTGGTAATCGGTGTTCAGGCATATGCAGCACGTGACCCAACAATCTCAGTCGATGAAGATTCACAACCTCATCAACTGATTTACCATCATTCCCTAATACCCTGCGTCTAATCTCACTATTACTTACCTGCTGATCCCAGCAGATGCGAGCAATATTTCCAAGACATCTGTAGTCAGATACTAGTAGCTTACGAGTACCTTCGACTCTTAATGGCTATGTTTCGCAGCCGTAAAGTAAAACAGAACGAACCGTCGCACAGTATACCCGTCCTTTAATTGATAGACGAATATCTCGCCTTCGTTTTCAGAACTACCTAAGTGTGACCTCAGTTGTTCCTGGAACCAAACAGGACTATGTCATCTGTGTGTTCTAAGTCGATAAGTGGACCTTCTGGAAAGAGATCAATGCCCGAGAATTCAGTCGACGTGAACGTTATTTCCATCAGTAGGTCTATGATGAAGTTAAACAAAAAGTGGAGAAAGTGAACAGCCTTGACGGACATCACTTGAGGTTGTACAAGCAGATGACAGTTCGCCATAAGCTCTGACTCGACTAGTAGTGTTCGAGTAAAGAGCCTTCACAAGGTTTATGTACTTCTGAGGTACGCTTTTCAATGACAGACACTGCCACAGAACCTCTCGGTCAGTCAGTCAGTCAGTCAGCTGCAACGTAGGACCAGGCACGTATATGCATCGGTCCAAGTTGCCATACTGCATTAGCACAACAAGATGAACACCGGATTCATAAAAGTAGTTAATTCAGTGGTGGTAATATATAGAAGAAAGATTGTGTATAAGGAGATAGTAAAGGAAGAAAGAATTAGTTCCTAGACAGATATGAAGCGATTTTAATCTCTTAATTTAAGGAAGACAGAGAGTGTATACACCGACGCCATTGTGATCGATTCTGAGCCATGTCGCCAAGAGTCTCCAACCATTGGTTACGATAGTCACGCGGACCCCAACCAGGCAGTCTGAATCTCCCAACATGGCTCAGACCAGAAGTTAGTGACTTCAAGCACTGATGCCACGTTTTGGTTTGGCCGCCCCTAACTTTCTTCCAATTATCCCCTGCACTAGTCAGCATTGCGCGTCGTGGTAATCGGTGTTCAGGCATACGCAACACGTGGCCCAACCATCTCAGTCGATGAAGATTCATAACCTCATCAACTGATTTACCATCATTCCCTAATACCCTGCGTCTAACCTCACTATTACTTACCCGGTGATCCCAGCAGATGCGAGCAATATTTCTAAGGCACCTGTGGTCAAATACTAGTAACTTACGAATATCTTCCACTCTTAAAGGCCATGTTTCGCAGCCGTATAGAAGGACGGAACGAACTGCCGCGCAGTATACTCGTCCCTTAATTGATAGACGGATATCTCGCCTTCGCCATAGATGACGTAAGTTGGCAAAGGCCAAGCGAGCTTTTCGAATCCGTGCTGAGATTTCGTCAGACACCAAGCCATTAGGACTGATCAGACTTCCAAGATAAGTGAAGTTGTCAACGCGTTCGACTACTTCACCCCCTATCCTTAGTTCAGGTGTTGATGCAGACCAGTCCTTTAGCAACAACTTGCATTTAGAGGGAGAAAAGCGCATCCCAAACATTCTAGCATTGTTGCTCAGTGCTACCAAAAGACTCTGCATTTCATCAGCGTCTTCACCAAACAGGACTATGTCATCTGCGTATTCTAAGTCAATAAGTGGACCTCCTGGTAGGAGATCAATACCCGAGAAGTCAGTCGATGAGAGCGTTATTTCCATCAGGATGTCTATGATAAAGTTAAACAAAAAAGGAGAAAGTGGACAGCCTTGACGGACATCACTTGAGGTTGCAAAAGCAGATGACAGTTCGCCATAAGCTCTGACTCGACTAGTAGTGTTCGAGTAAAGAGCCTTCACAAGGTTTATGTACTTCTGAGGTACGCCTTTCAATGACAGACACTGCCACAGAACCTCTCGGTCAACAGAGTCAAACGCTGCTTTTAAGTCAAGGAAGACCACCATTGTCGGACGCCGATAAGTATGCCTGTGTTCTAGAACCTGACGAATGGTGAATATGTGGTCGATGCAGCCACGACCAGGTGTGAAGCCAGCCTAATTTTCACGTGTTTGCAGTTAACGAGTTTTAGTTAGGCGTCCGAAAATTATCGAAGCTAGTATTTTAGATACTATATTAGTCAAACTAATCCCTCTGTGGTTGTCACAGGATGATTTTGACCCTTTCTTAAATATTGGGACGATAAGTGATTGTGACCAGTTAGATGGGATGATGTCTAACTCCCAGATTTTAGCTAAAATATTAGTCAACCTAATCGCTAAGACTAGACCACCATCCTTAAAGACCTCTGGGGCCAATCCATCTGGACCAGCTGCCCTTCCTCGTTTCAGATTAGCTATAGCCTTTTGAACTTCAGCTAGAGTTGGGGGACCTACTTCAATGTTCCATTCACACTGTCTGGGAATAGAGGGTAGTTGTAGAGTAGCTGAAAGCCAGCTAAACTGCTCCTTAAAGTGTTCCTTCCATCGTTCTAAGCGTCTGGACTGGGAGCAGATGAGAGTGTCGTCTTTTTCCGAAATGGTCTGACTTACACTTGATTTATTAATTCCAGTTTCTTTTATTAGTCTGTAGAGTTGTCTTGTATTCCCTATAGACGCCGTCTTTTCCATCTCTTTTGCTTTCGTTGCCCACCACTGCTCACGATCATTCTTTAGACTTTTGCTTAATCTAGATCTGATTTCTTTACGCTCTTCATCGTATTCAGAACCTGATGGGATGAGTTTGCGAGAATCTATCAGTGCAATAGACCTTGACGAAATCCATTGGTTCTTTGTAACCCTGTGGTTTAACTCACTGGTAGATGTCACTGCTGTTTCCACAGCTGCTTGTATAACTTTCCAAGCAACATCTGGGTCAGTCTCGTTTTCAGAACTACCTAAGTGTGACCTCAGTTGTTCCTGGAACCTACTTTTGGATTTCTCATTACTCAATTCGGTTCTAATGAGTCTTTTTTGTGTGGCTCTTTTGCGTCCAGTGAGGCGCAAGCAGATGCGTGCTCGTACTAGGGCATGATCAGAGTCCAAGCAGGTACCCCAGAATGAGCGACAATCTTCTATTGACCCTCTCCAACGATGACTGATGGCAATATGGTCTATTTGAGTCCATCGTTGGTTTGGTGCAGGGGGTCGCCATGTTAGACGATGTCTCTCCTTATGCTTAAAATTTGTGTTTGCTAAAAATAAACGATTGTCTGAGCACAGTTGCAGCAGACGATCACCATTATCTGTTCGCTGTGCTGGAATACTAAAATACCCACCTAAATGTCTTTCTGTTTTGTTTAAGCTACCTACCTGGGCATTAAAGTCACCTCCTACGAGTATTTATTTATTTATTTATTTGAACACATAAATATTGGTACAGGGGGGCACCAAATATATATGCGCCACACAAAACAGTGATAATTAGAAGAGAAGGAGAAAAGAGAAAAAAAAAAGTAATGAACGTGAGGAATTATAAAAAAAGAAGAGAGAGAGAGAGAGAACAATGGTGGGGGAAACGGAAAGGTACAATCAGAACAGATCTTTCAGTTAAGGAAGAATACGACCACCTTTTTATGAAGAAAGTAAAAGAAGGTTACAGCAGGATCGCCACTGGCTTCTATTCTGAGCCATATCTGATAACGTCTCTAGCCACTGCGTTACACCATCTCTCGGATCCCAACCAGGGAGTCGTTAAGGACCAACATAAGCTAGCCCTTTGCAGCTTTCTTTCATACCACGACACCATGTCATATACTGACCACCTCTCCGCTTTTTCCAA